CTCTCTCTCTTTCTCTCTCTCCCACCTACCCCACCCCACCCCTCCCTCCGTTCCCTCCTTTCTCTCCACTTTGCTACGCTAATATATTAGGCTCCTCAATTTGAATATTTCCACCACCTGTTTAACAGTGCGAAGTTAGAGCACTCGAGACCTTACCTAGTCTCGCTATGAGGATTACTGCGTGTTTTCGAATTCGTTGTTGGTACTTACTGTTTTGGCTAATCTAGTTTTGGTGTTTTGTGATATTTCTTCTTTGGGAAAAGATCTTTCTACTAGATTTCTCTGGTTTTTGGTGTTTGTGTTTGTGACCTTCAGACTGCGGAAGTGGTGTGTGAGTGTTGATGATGATGATGATGATGGCTGCGAAGTTGTCCGATTTGACGGGGAGTCAATTCAGTTGCGCGTTCTGGCCTGTGGCTTCGGCGTTTGTGTGACGGGCGTAGTGTGTGGAGATATTGTGCAGACTTTGTGTGAACAACGAAAGCAACAACAACAACAACAACAACAACAACAACAATAGCAACAACAACAACAACAACTGCAGCATCAGTACTAGCCATACATTAACAGGGACGACAACGACAACAACAACAACAACAACAACAACAACAATAACAGCAGCAGAACAACAACAACAACAGCAGCAGCAGTAGCATTAGCAACAATAACAGTAATAACAGGAACAACAACAACAACTGCAGTATCAACAGTAGCAATATGTAATCATCTTCAGCAGTAACAACAACCGCAACAATAAACAACAACAACAACAAGAACAACAACAATAACAACAACAACAACAACAACAACAACAGCAGCAGCAGCAACAACTGCAACAACAGCAGCACCAAAACAACAATAACAACAATAACAACAATAACAACGACCAAACAAACAACCAACCAACTAACCAACCAACCAACCGACCGACCAACCGAGCGTTTAATTTATACAAAATAGAGTCTAAAAGCTAGAATTTAAAGACTAAAATTATATAGCCAGACCACAGCTGTGTCCAATAGTGTCCATACATAAAAGTCCATACATAAACTGTACATCAAACGTCCATTCACTCACTGTTGGGGACATCGACATCTTTCAAAACAGTAGTGTTATGAATAAATAAATATAAGCCAATAGTAAATAAGCTTTCCAGTCGGGGAAACGTTTGTTCTTATCTCAGCATGATGCAGTACGAAATAATGGGATAATGGAGGCGACAAGTTCACCAAGAAAAGAAAAACGGAGTTAAACGTCTCTTAGATAATAATGAAGTGGGTTTGTTTGTTTATTAGTTTGTTTGTTTGTTTTTGTTGTTGTTGGTTGTTTGGTTGGGTTGGGGGGGTTGTTTTGGGTTGGGGGGGTGTTGATTGATCTTCTGTTTGTTGGTCCATCTCTTTAACACAAACAAATGTGTCTGTCTGTGAGTGTGTCTTTCAGGCAGTTCGTGGTTTCACTGCAGAGCAGACCAACAAAGCTCTGATTACCCATAGAAATGTCTGATTGTGTATGTGCCTGTCGGACAATTCCTGGGTCACCTGACCTGAAGTAGTTGGTTCTGTCCCACATTGTCAAAAATGCACACATGGTTGGTTGGCGGGTGCTCTAATGTGGTTTGCTCCTTTTTTTCCTGTGAAACATCTATTGTCCTTATCTCTTCTTTTTTTTGTGTTACTCTGTTGTAAAATGAAAATCCTTCATAATCTTCTACTTGTATATGATAATCTTGTGTTGCAAGTGCAGTAAAACTCCTACTAAATCTTTTTAAAATGCAGACATACAAACACGGCTCTGATCACCTAACCGTCTGTCTGTGTGTGTCAGAGGTGGCGTCGGTAGCCTAGTGGTTTGGCTACCGGACTCTTAATTGTAAGATTGCGGGTTCGGGGGTTTGAGCTTCAGCTCCTTTTCTTGGGAAAGGCACTGTACAAAAATTTCCTACTTGGCTCTGTCCTTTTGGAGGAGGTGGACAATAGACTCGGAGGTCCCGCCTCGTATGTAACTTAACAGTGTTGATAAAGATGTTAAACTTATACCATGTGGGTGGTTGGCGGGTGCTCTCATGAGGTTTGCTTCTTCTTTCCTATCAGACATCTATCGTTCTTATCTCCCCTCCTTCTTTTTTATGTTTGTTACTCTCTTGTAACACCTCTAATCTTCTGGCGCTCATATGACCTTTGCAGTTGCGAGCGCCGTTAAATGTCTACTAAAACAAAACTTGTGCAATTTCGTCTATTTTTTAAAAAAATTTTTGTCTGTCAGACAGTTCCCGGGTCGTCTGAAGGATCTGATGCTGTCCCACATCCTGGTGCTATGCCTCAAGCTGAGCAGCTTCCAGGTCAACTTGAACACGTTACTGGCCGACCTTAACGTTGCAAGAAAGAGGTCAGTACCCTGGGCTTTCAGTTAAAACCCACTTGTCTGAAAAATGGAAAAGCTGCTATGGCTTGTTCACTTTCGTCTGACCATGGAACAAGTTAAAATGAAATCGCTCTGTTTAATATTCTCAGATCTTTGCGTGCGCATGTAAAAGTTGGATGACGAACAGAATCTAAAAACTGATTTATAATGTAAACTAAGGTTCCAACGCGCTTTTTTTAACGTGTTAGCCAAAACAGGTAAAAAAAATAACAGAGGATCTTCTGCATACCCCTTAAGCATTGAAAAGTTTATATGTTTTCCTCAGCACTACTCTTTAATACAAACTTAAGTCCACCAGATGGGGTAGTAGTTTTCAAGACTCCTGTGGAGACGTCTAGACAGCCGTGGGAGGAAATCTACAAGCTAACACTGAAATGTGGGAGCAAGGGTGGTGTCGTCTCAAAATGAGCAATTTGTAGGCAAGGTTACTATAAGTCATTCATTTTATTAGGTACCAGAAACTAAATTTTCAAACTAACTGTATGCCAAATGTATCTGTTCCATTTGAAAGGCCTATATCCGCTGAGCATTTTGGTACCATTCTTTAACCTCTCCGTCAATTTTTAAGAAAGTTGTAGTTGTTTAAAATTTGATCAAATTTGTTAAAGTCAGTCACTGGCTGCAACCCCATGTTTGACAGACAATAAAAAAAGTACCAAGTGCACTAAACATCTCCACATTAACAGAGTACAATCACTATAACAAATATATGGAGCCTAATTTTTTTCAAGACTGAGATCTTTACAAATCAGTATTTTATCGCCTCAAACACGATGATCTGTCGTTATTTCGACAAAAACACTGAGCGTTGACCCGGCGGCGCGCACCGGCCCCTGCGGCGAGCGAGTCGGCTCTATACTGTAGTGTACCCCGCGTGCGGGGTCACATGCTTTCCGAGTCTCGCGGAAGGATTGATGAAAAATAATTCCAAGTTAATAACTTTATTCTAATAGAAAATGAACTGATCTTTTAATTGATACCAGTTATAAGTCGGTATTATACATATTTTGTGTAAAAAGGGATCTTTAAACATTTTGACCGTATTTTTAAAAGCTTTCTATAAAGACGCCAAAGGCTTAACTTATATCACGGGAAAGCCCGTTTAAAGCTCTGTAGTTCTCCGCCAATGAAAAGACGGTATTTAATCATCCCTCGTTCCGCGAAGCATTTGAATGCACGCGTGTCAATTTTTCAACCGGCCGACCTCGCATTCCGACCGCGAGGGGCTTCGCTTTCGTCGGCGATTCTCCAGCTCCTAATAATCGGACATATAAACAACTTACACCATTGTAACGAGGAAAAGCTGAACTTTTACAAGGTGTACGGCATTTGGTGTTTTACAGCGAAAGAGCAAAGAAACAGCGATCGGAATTACCCCGATTTTACCGATACCACGCGGTCGGAAGGCTGCGAATGCCCGCGAGGCTGTGTTTACGCTACCTAATTTTATTGATCCTGTGTTTACATCCAAAGAGCTGTTTTTAACCTAAACTTACATTACCTTGCTCCAGGTGGGATCACATCAAACTGTGAACTTTTCCCTGCCCATTGCAGCAGTTTTCTCTATTCCCGAATTTCCGAGACAGGCAATTTTAATTGGTGTAGTCACAATGTAATGGTGCTTAGCGAAAAAGGCGGGGGAACTCGGTCAGAGATGGAAAGCTATAAATTTGCGACAGGTAAACTGGAGGGGCAACTGGATAAGCATAGGTCTTGAGACTTACGAGTGGATAATAAGTGAAAATGGCACACCTTCTGCCACTATGCTCTATGATAGGTCAAGGTTAACCAGTCTTTGCTCGCCATATGTCATAAACCCACCCAGGGGTCAAGTCAGTTCATTTTAGAGGGGAGGGAGACCATTTTACCTATTGTGAGGCTTCACATGAGTCACCATAGATTCTTTCCCTGGGTTCGTCGGCTAAGATCCCGCATTTTCCTTGCTCCCAAGCACCGGGATCTTAGGCGGAGACTACTGTACAAACTTGGCACGTCTATTTGCATAGGGCTAAAATCCTTAAAGTAACTTTTTGTCAGCTCGTCTCACAAATATTCTTTGCTTCCTCTTGGGATATTACAGTACATTTAATACAGTGAAACACTGATATAAAGAATATGCCTGGGCAGTAAAAATAGTTCTTTATTTCAGTCAACATTCACACACAAACTACTTTTTCTCACATAGTCCTTTTCAGTCACTGATATAAAGATATATGCCTGGGCAGTAAAAATAGTTCTTTATTTCAGTCAACATTCACACACAAACTACTTTTTCTCACATAGTCCTTTTCAGTCATAGTAGTAATAGGTATAGTATACAGGGTACATGTACAGTAATATTTCTTCCCAAGAGAATGAAAAAAGGGAGTTATATATGTTTGCTGCTTCTCCGTTTCTCCTTTTTGGCTGTCCCCAAAAATTTTTTTAAAAAGTGCTCCCCCTATTGACTACGAAATATTTTCAATTTCTCCTCACTTTGCTTTGCCTCCGCAAAGCTCACTCTTACAGTTATCTGCTCATGGTCTTCAGTTTGTTTGAGAAGTAGAAGCTTCCTTCACTTACTCCACAATTTCGGCATTGAAAAGCACTGCTGATGTTTGCACATTTAGTGTCTATGTCTGTGAAGGCAGACTCGCGTGGCAGTTGGGCAACTCTTGGTTTGGTCAACTCATAGAGGTGGGCTGGTTCATTACTTCAGTCGTAAATATGAAGGAAAAAAGACTTGTTGGGCTAGAAATTTGGTTCGCTACAGCCTTCAGTTGTTTATCGTATGACCATTAATGCGTCAAAATATGATTGACACAAAGACAAGAGAGAAAAAAAAACAGGGTAAAGAAATGTGTTCTTTATTTCCGTCAGTTCTTTACACGTGTATTCTTTATAGGTGTGCTCTACTGTATTATTGTCTGACTGTTGTGTCCTCTCTCTCCAGACTGATCACCCACAGCACAATCCTAGGCTGTACTGTGAAAAGTGCCAAAAACCCTGCCGGTGCGATGGAGGGTATGAGCTACATCGCCTCTCTCAGCATCCCACTTAAGTTTCCCGAACTGAAGATGCACTCGAAGAAGTCACGCTTTATGTAACCTGCCTGATTATGATGAATGTCTGTTGAAATAAAATGTAGCCTACTTTTGTAATGGGGGAAAATGTTGAGAGAGATGGTTGTTTGAAGTATGTCTTCCATGTGCATGTAAAGTAACTGTGGGCATGGTTGTTGATTCTTGTTGCTGAATGCAAGAATTATAATAAAGAGTAGAAATTAAATTGTTGAGAAAAGCGTGCTTTTTTTTGTGTTGCTTTTTTTAAGTTAGTTTGTGTTGAGGGGGGGGGGGGATGGTTCTGTAAGGCCAAGCAGGTAACACTCGGGTAGTATAGACTGTGAAGTGCATAGAGCTTGCTGTTGAGCGGGGATTTGCACTGTACAAATGCTATCGATTTATCTATAATCATTATATACCGTGGAGTTTGCTGAAACCAAAATCTGCAGGACTGTATGTTTGAGTAAAGAGAAGCACATCAACACAACCATGATCGTTCAGTGCGAGGAAAAATTAAGACAAGAGGGAAAGTAAAGAAGGACCTACCAGTGGCGCCCTACACCCACCGCTGCGGGACCATGTTTTTTAAGTTTAATGCCTTCGTTGTAGACACAAACAAGAGGACTTCAATCCCTTCATGGTATTTTATCTTTATCAAGTACAGTGGAAACCATAATATTACAGGCCCGGTAATAACAGGGATTTTTTAAATCCCCGTTTTTTCCTACTCTTTGTCTTTATTAAAAGTTATCGGCAATAACAGGGCCTCATCGCAGCCCAACCGGTTATAGCAGGGACAAAGGCTCGTTACAATGTGTAAAAAGTAAGAGAGAGAGAGAGAGAGAGTAGCGCAGTGATGGAGCAAGCCCACGCAAGCCATGCAACTGCAAGCACACGCAGCATGTGAAGCGAGAGAGGGCTGCGGTGTGCTGCAGACCTCGATCTAGCCAGAAACCTAGCAACACAGGCGCGTAATGTGTCACCAACGATGTCAAGCGCACAAGAAAATGCCTTTCAATTAACAAAAAAATACTAAATAATCCAGGCTGTTGACGAAAAGCAAGCTCCACAGGACATTTTCTCTACTCCCACCATCCCTGTTATATCAGGTTTCCACTGTGTGTCTTTGTTATTTGGCCACTTTTAAGCATGGGGGGGCAATCCCGAAAAATGCTTTTTTGAAAAAAATGAAACGTAAAAGTTTTTGGACCCTTGTTCAGTTTCTTTAAATGGCAAGGAGAGTTTTCTCTATAACCAAACAAATATACACACCAATGAAACCAAACTAGGTCAAGACGTCTGGAAAAGCCCTGAAATGCGGGTATTAAGCCAGCTTGTCCTTAAAAGCGACCATTTTGCTCCTGCGTAGTGTCCCACATTACTGGGTTACAGTGGGTTGTTGGCAACATGATCGCCATTGCCTAGTGGGACTTTTTTAGGTGGAGATATACATGTTTCAAAGCACTTGCAACACAATAAGGTCATATAATAAAAGGACCAAAGATTAGAAATGTTACAAGAGAGTAAGAAACACACAAAAAAGAGATGACAGATGTTTGATAGGAAAGGAGGAGGAGCATGCATCCTCCAACCACCCATGAATGATTTCTGGTGCAAGTACATTTTAAAGGCTTTGGCCCCAAGCAGTTAATTTACAAGGTGTAAGGCAGATTCAGGACACCCATAGATTCAAACCCCAAGTCTTCAGGCAATGGCCAAATAGTTCACCAACGAGGCCTCATCGCATTGTAACAATGGGGGGGGGGGGGGGGGTGTACAAGAAGGAGAAAATGTGATAACACTAACACACTACTCTCAGCTCTGTCTTTCTCTAGACTTTATTTAAAAAAAGAAAAAATCACGACAACAATTTGGAATTTAAATAATTTTTATTTATTGTTATTAACAATTAACATTCTAAACACAATAACGATTAAAAGACACATACCTTTTTCTTACACATGAAAAGCTTTATGTAATGGAAAGGACACAGGCATATCACTCACTTCGGTGAACACACAAACAAACAAACAAACAACTCCACACAGAAATGTAAGTGTGTGTAGTGCAATACAATGGCCATACGTGGAACAAAATTTTTAAAAACAACAAAAATACATATAAAAAAACAAAACAAAAAAACTTGCGGTAGCAAAAACCATTCAGATCCCAGCAGTGGCTTTCCCCCCCCCCCCCCCCAGAGAGGTCCAGGTCTTCATACACGACGCATCAATTCACAAGAAAAACGAAATACAAGTATACACAGCCATTCACGCACATGACAGCACCCTTCTCAGAAAAAGTACTCTCGACAGTCAGCTCTCATCTTCCAAATGTCTTCCTTTTGAAATGTACATCGATATGTAAACAGGCTAACACTAACAAGCAATAGACACAAGGATTGAAATATAATGCAATTTTTCAAACAAAAAGTTGCACCACATTCCAGTTAAAAGATCAAACGTTTCTCCACAGAGAATATCTCCATTAAAAGATCAAGTTAACACCCATTTAAAATACTGTTTCAAATTTTTGTGATGTATTGGATGAAAGTGGAAAATACTCCTACCCTGTGTTTATGATGAAGGAACAATCACCTACTAAAGCTTATACCATCTTGGTCTGAATACATTGTCATACATACCCAAACACGCAATAATAAACAAACCGCAAACATTCTCTCAAACCAAAAACAGAAAAGAAAACAGGACAGTAGTGTGATGATATAACATTTTTTCCCACATTTCTAAGTAGATGTAGACCAGTTTTTTCCAAGACAAGGGTTCACGATGATGCTGCACATAAAGTGCACACCAATCCACAAATAAACATGGCTTGATCTGCCGCTTTTCATTTTAAAAAGAAAAAGAAAAGATATCTGACAGCTGTGGGGGTAGGCGCAACCTTATTCAATTGCTGGAGTCGTAAAATATGCCAACATTAAAATTTTGACAATGTAAGCTAAAACATTTTTCTATGCCAAAATTTTGAAAGAAGACAAAAATGGCACCTTTTTCACAAAGCCCTTTCTATCACAATTCATTTAGAAAACCTCAAAAAATATTTTAAAAATAATTCAACAATGCGGCAGGCAAGTCCAAGTATGTATGTATGTAAAAAGAGAAATCAGACCCATTCTCACAGAGCCACTGACATACCAAAAAAAAAAATTAGACCCATCTCTGATCCCATCAGTGGTAGCAAGTCATCAGTCACCACCACAGCTCAGAGAGCCGAGACTCCAGTCTCCCATCCCCCACACACTTTCTGGTTGGTCACTGCTGGTGGACCTGTGCTGGTTTCCACACCTGGAACTGTCACATTCAGCTAACAATTCGCAACTGAACACTTACGCTGTCTTCCTGTGAAAGAAACAAGGGAAGCCATAAAAATGTAAGCTAAACTTTTTTTTAAAAGCCCACTGAAGGCAAATATTCAAATTCAAGTCCATTTCAAGGGAAACACTTCGTCGCCTTATTGACAAGTTCATTACTCTTACTCAAAGTAGATCTGTAGTAACTTGTAAGATGTCCCTGGAAAGTAACAATATGAATAGCTTCCAACTAAGCAATCAGTCAATACAGTCTTATTCCTCCAGCTTTGTGCAACATTTAATTGGTTTTGGTGAAAAGAAACCTTTCATAGTACCAGAAAAAACTGACAAAAACTTAGCACCCTTTTAGTTTGGATCAGTTTTTACATTTAAAAACACTATCAGGTCACACAAGTACCAGAAAGTGAGCGGACCAACAAGCAGGAAAGCACTGAACTGAACAATCCACACGACAGCACTTAGCTGTTCATATCTTCACAAAAAGATGGAACTCGGCAAGGATGAAAAGAACACAACTTCAACGCTTTAAAAACAGCTCAGGAGCCAAAAAATTCACTGAACGCATAAATTTGCTTGACTACCAACTTGGCTGCTATGCCGAAGACTGAGACTCAAGTCCTCTCTAGGTGCACCATTTCTGGAAGATTTACACGATGAAGGCTTGGAGCCCTGACGTGGAGCCTGCTGTTTTGCCTTTGAAATATCTAGTCTGTGTACAGAGATTTAGACATAGAAGAAGCTAGATAGCAAGGAGGGAGAGGGGAACAGTGACATAGAAAAAGGAGGGGGGGGGGGGGGAGCACAAAAGACAGACAGAAGCAATAAAGGGAAAGAATAGAAGTCGGACCTACAACAACCAAAAATGATTATTATATTACTATATAAAGCCTGCGTCGACAGGGTATCAAATTCCAATTAAAATAACAGAATTAAAGTAAACTGCCACAGAGCATTAGTAGATTGTTGTGTTGTAAGATAGGGATCAATATTGGTCATGCCATGAGACCGGAAAACTAAGAAACGGTTAAGAACCTAGAGAGGGGGGCAGACAGAGAAAGAGTAAAAAAACAAAAATGTACTACCCACTCACACAGACTGCACAAGATGAAGTCAAATGAACGGAAAAAAAACAACAGGCAGCTTATATATTTTTGAACCAACACAAAACAACTAAACGAGGGCCCTCCCCCCTCTTTTTTTCTCTCTCCCAGAATACAAACAAGAACAGTAAAAACCAAAATCCTAAACTCCAAATTGCCAGAAACAACAAAGTTAGAGCGAAGATAATGCTAAAAAATGACAACAAATCAACAAAATAGACCAATCCTTCCATTCACAGGTCAAGGTGAGAAACTCCTCTAACACCTGGACTCACAAGGCAGACTGATGACGTCTGGGCACACCTATGCCAAATCTGACGCCTACATGAGGCTTCCTGCAAAAACCCAACACCACATACATCCTGTACAGTCGAAAGACCCCAAGATAGACATCCATTGTCAATGAGATTATAACAAATCTTAGGTGGACGTCTTGGAAAGTCGTCATAATATTGAAAGAAAAAAACGCAAGGTGGGAAATTGTTATTTATAAGAGTGATTGTCTTGAACAAGTGGCCATTAGAGCAGATTCCCAACGGCACCGAGAAACAAGGGGGGGGGGGGGGGGGGGGGGAATTGGTCCCACCTGTTTACACAAAACTAGGCGTGGTTGGAGAAACACTCACATAATGATAAACAAAACAAGTCACACTACAACATTAGATAAAGGAGTGTTTACATAAAAATGTCAGTGGCCCCACCCACATCTGTAATTAGGAGGGGGGAAAAAACATGCTACATAACAAACCATGCCAACACAAAATTTAAAAAAAACAAAAACAATATAAGCCATTTCAAGAGATAAAGGTATATATAAAAAAAAGAAATCCCTATACACACAAACAATAGCCACGACATAAGACTGCAATTGTCCTGTTGGCATGGCTGCCCACCCACCAGCATGTTTTAGTAATCAACAAATAGAAAATCAGTAAACTGGCTTAAGTTAAAAATTCGTAATATAGCCACGGAAAATCTTCTTCAATACAATGTACAAGGGGTTGTAGTCCAGTGCTGTATAGTAAAAATGTAACGTAAACAAAGGCATGATGATACAAAAGGGCAGAAATTTTCTAACCCCTTATTTATCAATCTAATGTTCGTCTTACTCCAGGCTTTGGCACTTCTTAAGTTTCATATTTTTCTTAATGCAAAGTGGCACTGAGTGAATACAAGGGCTCAGTGCAAAGAGAGTGCTAAAGTTACATAGCTGCACGTGATGTACTGATGTACATTGTCCAAGTCTGGTAGTTTTTCTATTTTTCTCCCCTTTTATACCAGGAAGATTAGCAGTGTGTTTGGGGAAGCCAAATTTTTTTTTTTTTATTGAAATCAAGAGTATTACAAATGTGACTATTCCACCAAATTCGTAATGGTGGTCGCCCTGTGTAAGCATATCTCCTAATCATTGGAACAGGATTAGTTTAGTTTTATAGGTCATATAAGTATCAAAGATTATAGGCATTACAAGAGAGTAACATACAAAAAAAAAGGGGGAAGAGAGATAAGGATGATAGATGTTTGATATGAAAGAAGGAGCAAATCTCACCAAAGCACCTGCCAACCACCCACAGGAACAAGATGATACCATTCATCAACATGAAATAGACACGAAAAAAAAAAGAAAAAAAAAAAAAAAAAAACCAATTGTGTTGTTGGAACTTACCTTTTTGAAGCTAAACCACTAAGCAGACGATTGCCGAAGAGGAAAGTAGGAATGGCAAGGATACCCAGATACCTCAACGTGACAAACATGTTCAGCTGGGTCCAGTAACAGTAGTACAGGCCAAAGATGGCTGAAAAACAAAAGAGAGAGAGAGAAAAAAATAAGCATTCAAAAGTTGTCAGTCATCACATTTCCATTGTTCACTGAAATGAGCTGGCTGACGATTTTTTAAAATATGAGGCTCTGATATTGAGAATTTTAAAATGCGATAAAAGAAAGAGATCAAGCTGTTTTTTATTACTTTTGCCATATCCTCTGGGACAGGCCTCTGTATGACCGTGACTTAAGCTCTTCGCCAAGAACAGATGAGAAAGGAGTTGACTTCCACAAGTGGATGATATATTATGAAGTGCATTTGTCTGTCCACTAGGACGTACTATCGACATCCCTAGTTAGCACCAAAAGGCAGGGCTGAAGTAAGTTGGCTGGCTCCTAATTTACTAAAACTGTCTTTGATGAGACCACACAACTTTTGTACTTATCTCTTTTCACAAATACCAATACCCTGACATGCAAATGATTAGTTAATAGTCACATCCTTTCAAAAAACTACGTAATACTTTTGCACTTTGCTCTTAACCACATGCAAAAATAATAAGTCACCAAAAGCAAAGACTTATCGATACTAAAAAAGCAATACTGATGCTTTTCAGACAACCCCTTCACTACTGCTAAACTCCTCTCACAAAAACATGAGAGACACATTTGGACATACGAGTACTAGAAACTGACTCTTAATCTCCATCAGAGTAATAATGACGACCGATGAAATTGAACTCACCACCAAGGCACACATGGAACCCAACAGCACTGAGAGACAGCGGGAAATTGGAAATATTGACGCCAATTCTCAGCCACTGAAACAACAGACAAAAAAAAAATACAAATATAGAAATGAACATCTCACAAAGCATAAAAATAAAACCCTATTCTTAAAAATTCTTTATATGCTGCTGATATCGTAGAATCAAGTGGAAATTCAACTGCACAACTGCATGAACAATTCAAACAAAGAAGCAATCCCTGGAATAATTGCTCTGGATATGAAATATTTTCATTCCATCTTTTAAAATAATACCGGGTACAGATGAGTAACATGATATTTCCAACCCACTTTTACCACTGGTACATTCAAAAAGATGTGAGGTAAAAGACAACCTTCATGGTCTTAAAACCGCAAAAAAAAAATTTTTAATCTACATTGTGTTCTTTCAACATACATGGGGGGGGGGGGGGGTTCTTTTTTATTATCATCTTTTAACCCTATCCGTACGCCCTGGGGTCATTTCGTACCCCCGTGGTAGTATTTTTCACATTTTAGAATACTTCTAGTATGAAGATCTCTTTAAACTTTCAGTATTTCTCAAAAAATCATTTTGACAGACTGCTATGCAAAGCGTACGGATCGGATTAACAAGTAAATTTCCTCTTTGGAAAGTGGTGACACAGAGTTCTCCATGTCGTATGGATACAATGGTAAAACATGACATACGGATAGGGTTAAGAAACAATTTCATGGGCACAGCACCATAAAACAATTGATAGTGTGCAAACAGCTCCACAGAACAGTACAATGACAACAGCAGCCATGATTCACTGGAACAGAACTACCTTTAATAGAACATGCCAAGTGACTGTTTTGAACCATTGAATACCATCTTATTTCCCAGGGAAATAATAATAATAATAATAATAATAATAATAATAATAATAATAAAAATAGATAGCATTTGTATAGCACAAATTCCTGCTCAACAGCAAGCTCTATGCGCTTTACAATCTATATTATAAATATGACAAAAGTCATTGAACTTTCTCTTTTTTTTGCCTAGTTCTGGGTTGAATACAGTGTGTGAGTGTGTGTGTGTGTGTGTGTGTGTACATGCCCAGGCGCGTGGGCGTGCATGCGGACGTGCATGTGTGTGTGTGTGCATGTTCTGGACTCACCAAAATGAGGAGGATGGCAATGGGCGACAAGACGAGGGCGGTGAAGGCCATGGATACTGTTGCAGGTGGACGCTTCTCAGGAACGTTGAATTTGTGCTGAAAGGAGAAATGAAAGTTTGTTTGAGTAAAGAAAAGCACATCAGCACAACAATGGTCATTTAGTGCTGGGAAAAAGTAAAGACAGATTGACAGAAACAACAGGAGGAAAGTAAAAAAGTAAGACCTACCAGTGGCACCCTCCAACCACTCGCAGAAACGAAGGAACCAATTAAGCACAAATTTCATCAGCCAGAACCACGCAGAGGGACAAACAGAACGTTCCAAGTTTTCAAGTGGCCATAACTCAATGCCCATACATAAAGAAGTAAGATCATGTCGATATCGCCGTTTTTATCAGCTGACCGTAGAATTTAGAATCAAAACGGTGAAAGTTAAATTATTCGGAGTGGCTAGCCACCCAATGTGGGCTGACTAGCGTTTTGCTACTCGAACAAATTCTGCCTTTAAACTGGCTGAACTTCATGAAAATCTTATCATTTCACCTCAAAAGGTGCAAATTGTTCTGTTGTGGACAGAGAGAGTTGTAATTTTTTAAATACAAATGTTCCAGTACCTTTGTTACACTCTTGTACTTACTTGGTCATGCATGGAACAGATAATTTTATCAAGAACAATGACCTTGTGATATTTACAAAATGATTCCTGGTGATTAAGACTGAAAAGTCTCATCTATCACTAATTTTGCTGAAATCTTTTTTATTGATAAGAGGCACGTGCTGACAGCTGAAACGACTTACCATTAAAACCATTCATATGCCTTTTTAAAGTTGCTTTACAAAATTTATGTTGAAAATGTAGTCTTATTTCCAATTGACCAATCATTCCTTGTTGTGCTCTCTCTATCCCAGGAAGTCAGTACTAGGTGAACGGTTCTGGGTGGGCAGAAAAACGCTAGCCACCCGAGGTCGGGGGGCTAGCACCTGCCTAAATTATTTCAACAAATCTACTCTTGGACGTTTTTCTGTTAAATGTTCCACTGTAGTATGCATAAAAAATTAATTTTGAGCTTTTATAAACCAGCCTTTAAGAGGTTGGCATATCTGTAATCACTTTAAACGAAACAAGTTACTTACCTGCAAAATACTACAATACTTTCTAAATCAACTCAGACCTTGCATTTTCAAAGTCAATCAATTTTCTAATAGAAATACTTTTCTCTTTACTTTGCTTTTGTTTTCATAAGTGTTTTACAGCACTCGCAACACAATTAGGTCAAATAAGTGCAGAAGATTAGACGTGTTACACAAGAGTAATAAACACACAATAAAGGAGGAGAGATAGGGGCGATAGATGGTTTGATAGGAAGGAACGAGCAAACCACACCAGAGTACCACCCACCAACCATACACTATCTTTACCTTGATTTCTGGTTTCTTGGCGTACTGGCTCAGAGCATCAGCCTTAGCCTCTCCGCCCTCAGGGAATGTCAAGGAAATATCAGCCTGGGAACAGGAAGCAAAACAATGATCATTTATCTGGAGAACCTCATGAAAAATGAATTTTTTTATTTTGCAACCCGATCTTATATTGTTCACAAATCCACACAAGCAACATAAACATGTAAAAGGTGCAGTCACAAAGCAGCAATCCCACAGCCCAAATAGCCGTCATGAGTTGTTTTTTTAGTTCTTTGAAGGCTAAATAAATTAAGTCAAATTCCCATTTTTAAACAAAAGTACTGGTACATGTACCAAAGCGATAGAGTAATTTCTGTGACCAAAAATATATATCATCAAAACAAAAAAAGCAACCCCCTTCCCCCTGGACAGTTTCGACTGTACATATACACACCAGATCAAATAAAAGAAAGCATTCGTGGACAGGCATATAACCACTACTCACCAGCAGCCAGGAGAAAGGATTCTCGATGACGGCGTCTCCAACAATCAATTCCATGCTGTACTTGCCAGACACTGAGGCAAAGTCTTTGGCGCTGGCACCGACATCCTGCGCAGGAAAAACACGACGTCATACATACAGAGATAGTTTGCTTCCAACTCTTGAAATTTCAAATTTCATACGATACCTCACCATACAGCAAGCAAAACAATTTTTAAACTTCAAGCAGAGAATGAGAGATAAACCACAGCAGTCAATGTCTGTTTCAGATCTTTGGGTTTTTTTGTTTGACTAAAGAGAAGCGAATCCACACAATAATGGTCATTTAGTGCTAGGGGAAAAGTAAGACAGACAGACAGAAACAACAGAAGGAAAAGTAGAAGAGTAAACCTACCAGTGGCACCCTCAAACCACCCACTGTTTCAGACCTGGCGTTGTTTCTAATCTCTCTTCTTGACCAGTGATTCAACCTCTGAATTATTCCATCTTACTGCATGCTCTTAATTTTTCTTTTCTCTTTTCTGCCATGTCTCTCTCACCAGATCAAACTTGTTGGTGAAGGTGTTGTCCGACTCGGTGACGAAGATGATCTCTTGTTTGGTCTTCAGGTTAGTCAGTCTCACAAAGGTCTGGTGGGCATTCATCAGCTGGCCACTTGACTTGTCCTTCAGCTGGAACTTCATGATCACCTTCTGGTGGTAGTCTGCCTCCAGCACGCTGGCAGCCTTGTTGGGGTGAACCAGCCTGGGACACAAAACACCCAGAGTTTAATACAGGGAAACCATCAGAGTTTGTTTTGTTTTTGTTTTTATTTTTTTTGTTCGTTTTTCTTTGGGTTTTTTTTTGGGGGGGGGTCTTCCAGTTTTAGAAAGAGTATTACAGCACTTACAACACAAACAAGTCATACAAGTAAGGGCCAAAGCTTAGGTTTTACTAGAGAGTATCATTCAAAGAAAAGAAAGATGAAGGGCAAGGACGATAAATGTATAATAGGAAAGAAGGAGCAAACCACAAAAGAGCATCCACAAACCACCCACAAATCGGAGTTTGATGTATACACTCTGCATGAGGTACAACTATACATGTATTATTTATTAGGTTACTTGACACTGAATAGATTACAAACCCTTCAGGTACAATTAAACTTTCCAAAGATTGGACTTGCTTTGTTTTAATCAATGATCCAGAAACAGGTCTGAATATAAAAGAATTCAAAGCATTTTAAGCTCAAATCTTTGAAACAACACATTCCACTTAAAACACTGCAACATGGAATGAAATCTTTAAAAAAAACAACTTAACCAGTTGGTTTAATTGATAAAAGGCATCTCAAAACAGAACAAATTTTCACATTCATTCATGAGCTAAGTGCTTAGAAAAAAATACATATCAATATTGCATAATAATGTGCATAAATATTATTATATTGCTTTTTAAACACTTAATAAAAACATTTTCACCCCACCAGCAAAGGAATGGGACCAAAAATCTGTACAGTAGCTACATTCTCAACTAACAACATACTTGGTGGTGCGGGCAGCGGTTGTCTGGTCCTTGTCTGCCACTCCAATCTCCACGTTTTCCACAGAAATCTTTGTGGTCACCTTCACCTCAACCTGGAAAAGAAAATACATTACAATTAAAAATCTTAAAGTCTGGCTCTTTCTTTTCAAAATATCAACCAAAGATTTTTTATCTACTTTTGACTCAAGTCTGCTTCTTAACCTCACAGTGTTGCAAAGGACGTTCAACCTATACAATATCCCATATTTTTCAAACCCAAAGTAAAATTTCCAGCATCAATGTCACTGCAGTAACTCGGGTGTTTCCAGTCAACTTCTGGATTCATAAAAAACATTTGTCAACATCCCTACTTCCATAAATTCACTAGGCAGAAACATAATTCCTGAGTCGTACTTTAAATCAGATTTATCCATAAAATTGGACAAAAATCACTGCAAACGTGTGAATGAAGCTTCCTCAAAACCTCAAAGGAGTCTTGAAAAAGGACTGGAGGTTGACTATCACAGCTGACTCAAAATAAAAAGTGTAGAAGTTTTATAAGTTTTTTTATAAGTTTTATAAATATAAGCAAACATAAGTTTTAAAAAACTTGGGCACACAACTCTTTGTTTAAATGATTCATTTACATCAGTAAATACAGTCCAACCTGTCCAAGGTTGCGATGATCCATTGTCAAGGAGAAAAGTGGTCATCGTAGTCAGGAGGTCCTCTTGAACAGTGTCAGCTTGTCTTGGGCAGGTTCGACTATGGTACAAAAGGTCAGCACAAAAGGCCAGCAGCAAGGCAGCAAGCTTTCCATTTGGTGCTCACAATTTCCACAGAGCAAAAAATGTACAACCCCATCCCCATAGCTAAAGTGTTAACATCTAAACATGTTTACTTACCTCAGCGCCAGAGGTACCGATGAGGCGAGCATCGGCCTTCTTGGGGGCCACGTTGATGGTGAGCTTGTAGAAGCCCTTGGCGGGTTTGGCATTCAGGAAGTTGAGCTCAAACAGAGACCTGCAGCAATGTGGGAGACACAGACACAGAATTATATACCATCCCTTGACTCGTCTCTTATTCTTAGCAGTCATAAGTGAGTTGCTTCAAATTGTTATATTCCGGGGACATAATATATGCCAACATTCAATTCTCAAGTCTTTTAATGCACCTTCCTTCATCCCATTCACTTAATTTTCAGAGATATTTCTCAGAACAGAAACCCCAATAGCACACAGACATAAGTAAAAGCAACAAAAGAAAAAATAATAAATAATTTTTTTAAAATAAATAAATAACAATAATGATAATAATTATTTTTTAAAATAACAGTAATCATAATAATAGATTGTATTTATACAGCGCTCCTTTCCACACGACGTTTCGTTCAATATTATAGCAAAAGAACCCTCGGCATAAATTCCCCACCTGCAGGGCAGTAATTGCATTTGTTATAAGTTCCCATGCATATTCTATTCATTAATTAAATCAGGGATGTTACTAGGATTTTGTGAAAATACCTGCAAATTTTGGAAGTAGCATTCACAAACAAAAAGACATATTAGGCACGACTAAATTGGAGTTAAACAGAAAACAAGTGCTTAGAATAATAACTGTTCTTCCAGTGAAAATAATGAAAATATCGGGAAACACAGCATAGCTGATACATTCAACTCATGAACGGAAATTCTGCTGACTTCCCACTCTGATTATTAACTTTTTTTTAAATTTACGTCTTTACAAGTTTTCTGAGCTTTCTGGAGCGGTGCTTCTTTACTCGACAAGTTTTCTGAGCTTTCTCAAACGGTGCACCAGCACACCGCACCATGACTCACTTGTCAGAAGCAGCGACAGAGAATTGTTTCTTGCTGAGCACCACAGCGTCGTCTCCCAGATGTCTGGCGCTCTCGGCAGTCACGGTCATCTCACCCAAGCTACCGCCCATCAGGTCAGTCACTCGCACCTAAACACAATACAAGGGTGGAGGAACAGTCGTCTTTAGTTTTAGTAAGCGTTTTACAGCATTTGTAACACAATAAGGTCATATATAGAGCCGAAGATTAGAGGTGTTACAAGTGAGTAACAAATACAAAAAAGGAAGGAGATGAGATAAGGACAATAGATATTTGATCACCCACAAGGGGACAGCTGGAAGTGAAAACATTAATATTTAATAGAGCCAAATCGAATCTTTGCACAATCTCAAGGCCTGTGACTGACATACTATAAAAAAAAAGCACATTAACAAGTAAAAGAAAGCGTGTTGACACAACTTAACAGTTGTTTAGTGGTGGTAAATAAGGAGAAGGGCAAGCAATTATTTGGTAAATTAGTTCATATTTACTCGGTTAAGTTGAATTTGAAAACAAGAAATGGCTTTTTAAAACCAGGAACACAATACCACAACAAATCTGAGTAGCATACTTGCAACCCCAGTAGAGTCTTAAGCAAAATTTGACAGCTTGTTTGTCTTACTAAAATTTTATGCCACTTGCAACACACATGTGACATAGATCATATAAGTGCTGAGGATTAGAGATGTTACTCGACAGCTACATACATGGAAAAGAAGGAGGAGAGATAAGGACGATGGATGTTTTGTAAGAAAGAAGAAGTAAACCTTACTAGAACACCTGCCAACCACTAACGTTTGGAAGTTGGCACTCACAACTGACACTATACAGAATGTAAGAAATAAATCACAAAAGATATACCAGAAAACACGGTGCTGACAAATATGCACACAATGAATACAGTTGCCGTTCAGTAACAGTCAACACTATCTAGCTACATTTTATCAAGAACAGAAACAGTCTAATAGTATTTAACAGAAAAAAAAACAACTTATACGTAAGTGCAACAATCGACGAAATCGCTTACCTTGACAGAAGGGTCGGCTTGCGTAACAGCCACAGGACTAGCCAGAGACACAGCCACAGGCACATGGAACTGAAAGAGAAAATACACCATGAACATCATTCACAAACATGCCTGCCTGCCTATAAAGTGTCAAAAGCATGTTAACCCTTTGAGCCCTTGCCACTGGTAGACCGGTGGCGCGTAAAACTGTCCATATGCCTAACCACCGGTACACCGTTCTGCAAGACCTCATCCCCAATCCGGCCCACCTGAGACAAATTGCGTACGTAAAACTGTGTTAACTACACTAGACATTACTGATTATTTAGAAGATCTTTCTGAATTAGATGTTGGTATTGACAAGGACTACCCTGAGCGGGATGTGGAATGTCATTCTGATGATCACATGAATGTTAGTAATATATTGCTCAGGAGCTCAAGCAGAGGGGCGCGGTAGCCTCAGGAGGTAAGGGCTCAAATGGGTTAGGTCAAAGTTTTACAAAGCAGGCACATAAATAGACTACACAAGTGCATAAGATTAATTTTAGTTTTAGTAATAAATTTACAACACTAGCAACACAATAAGGTCAAATAAGTGCCAAATATTAGAGGTGTTACAAGAGAATAACGAACACACAGAAGACGGAGGAGAGATCAGGACAATAGATGTTTGATTAGGAAAGAAGAAACAAACCACACTAGAGCACCCGCCAACCACCAGCGCCAAAGATTACAGGTGTTACAAGTGATTAACATACAAAGAAAAGATGGATAAATAAGGACAATAAATGTTGGATTGGAAAGCAGGAGCACACCACACCAGAGCACCCGCAAACCACCCACTTGGACAAGTGGACTTTCAGCAGACATAATATATAAGGCTTATTCAAAAGAGTACATGAGTGCACACTTGTCCTATTGTATTCCTTCACATAATTCTCTACAACAGACTAGTCAGTAGCCTTCACAACTCATAAACAACACCATCAGAATGACAAGCACAATTAATAAAAACTTAAAACGTATCAACTTCCATCAATCAGGAGCACCAAACACTGTGAAACTTACATAATTGACAAAGTCTTAATCATCAATGAAATTACATAATTTTTTTTAATGTTCCTGAAAAAGCCATTTGTGGTGAATGTATTATAAAATCTTTTGGAAATCCTACCAAGCCTCAACCTTTTTTATTATCTGTTTACAATGAACTCACGTTGTTGGTGGACAAAGTCTTGATGACAGAAAGGAAGTAGTAGGCAGACTTCAGTTGGTGGACGTGCTTGCGGCTCATAAAGTAGTTGGTAAACTTGATCACTTTATCCTGAAGAGACAATATTGACAACAACAATAAATACATGTATAATATAAATCAAGACTTTCGTCATCATAAACATTGGTGGACAAGAGGATAAATTTCATTCTTAATCACACTGGAAAATGTAATCATATACATTGCAACCAATACAAATATATATCATACTATTCATTTGATAAAATCACTTATCCTCTACAGCTGACAACCTTCAGAATAAATCATCATCTCATGAATGACCTTTTAAGTGTAAAGCAGACCTTCACTTAAGGGCCTACAAGAGAAAAGAAAAATTAGTCACAGTCTTACTTTTTTTTTTTAAACAACAAACAACTTTCTATCCTACGTCTGAGTTTAAACTCACCTGAGCAATTGTCGGGGCTTTTTTGGTTTTCTCCGCTAGCTTGTAAGCTCCATCCACGACGAGAGATGTGACAAACAGGCCACCTTCAAACTGAAATGTATAAAACACACAAATGTAAACTTACTGCTGTGTACTGTAACCCTTGGCACTCACAATATAAAGCATATGATTTTAATGCATGGAGATGGTGTTTTATAAGAAAATAACAGAAAACACAAGGATAAGAATTGTATTAATTTTATATTCAAAACCACAATCAACATTTTAGGATAAAGTCTAAACCATTAACTATGAACTATGAGCTAGAACAATTCAGTTTAAAGAATATTAACTTCGTTTACAATTTATATGGCTAATTTCTCAAAATAAAAGCAAGAGCGTAACATAATATGATTAGGAGGACAAAACAAGATGCAACACCTACCCGCTGCACCTTGCAATCACCAGTTTTCAATTCAAACTCAACAAAAACATAATAAAACTACTTATACTTCTAAGCATACCACTACAAATATCATGTCATTGAACAATGACAACCCATCGGCAATTCGGTTGATTTAAACAACATCCCAGACAGCAAATTAACTACCCAAACATTTTTTTCAAGTTCTAAAACAAAAAATTATGGGTGACAAAATAAAGTAAAACTTCACAAAAAGCCCAAACTATTGAGGAATGAAATGAATACTTTACTCTTTTTTCCTATTGCAATGTGCCATTTTTACCTGCAAGTATTTATCATCCACTTCATCAGCTTGAGCTATAACGTCTTCGACATTATCCACAAACTTGCTGATGTCTCCCTTGAGCTGAGAGGCTGCCAAAAAGGCGTATCCATGGCTGTGGGCAACATTGGAAAAGACAAGTGGAGTGTTAGATTCAACATCTTGAAATTTGAACAAGAAAGGAATACCAAATTAATGCAGAAATCAAAAGCTTGTGCGAATGTCAAAGGGGCCAGCTCACACTTCTTCACTGTTTTGCAATTTTAACTAAAATATTCATTACAAACAACAGCATGGATTGCATGCATATTCAAAATGAAAAACTCTTGAAAGATATAATTATAATACATATATATATATATATATATATATATATATATATATATATATATATAATATCAATCTCGGGACTGTCATGTAAACATGTGCTTTCACTGGTGAACATTATTCCCACTTTCTTTGCCATATACATGCTTTCTACTCTACATTTTAAATCACATGTTTTGTCAAAGAAAAATATAAATACAAACCAAATTCTTTGCATTCTTCAACCAATACTAACACTTGTTCAAAACTCTGAAAAAAATGTTTAATAACAAAAACACTAATAGGCAGTTAAACGAGACAATCCTACAGATAAATATACAAAACATTTTACCTTGCTGGTGAATCATCGTTTTTCAGAGCAGCCAACAAGGCTTTGCTAACTGCAGCATCATCAGCTGAAACAAAAGGAAATAGAAGGAGACTTCTAATAAGATGAATTTGGCTGAAATTACTACATAAGCCACCTAGAAGTTATTAATCAATAGATAGGCCATGAAAGTCTCAAGACTAAAAAACTACAGACACCACGGAGTGACATTTCAAAGAGTATGAAGCATAGCTAAAAGACCCACAAAAAACAAGCTTATAAACTTTCTAAAACAAACAGGAGTGTCGTCTTTGCTGACCATCACTTTTTAGAGGGATTTTTCCCAGTACCAGAGCATCAAACATTAGAAAACAAACATTTCAAGTTTTAAGTCCAGATCCTACGATGCAACTCATATTGCTATGAAGTAACTACTATTCTTCTTTGTCTATTCTACTTCTGTTCCATAAAGCCATGCCTCAGAATTTATTTTTTACAGCATGAGGGAGAGGCATTACTAGAAAAAGATTTGTCAAAGTATTAAATTACCTTTCCATACTTGTGTCTTTATGCATTTGACCTGAATTTTTACACAAAGATGAAAGTGCTCCTGAAGCTGATCAAAGTTCAGTTGGGTTTGGGGTTTTTTTTTGGGGGGGGGGAATATCTTCATGTAAAATTGTATGGTTGTATGACCAGTTACAACTTGCATATATAACAAACTCACCTGGAAGACCCAAATTCTTCTGGGCTAAAAAGGCAAAAGCAATATCTTGAACGCTGGAATCTTCTTTGATAGCATCAGAGAGAGTCTTCTTAAATTCAGGTACATCCACCTGAAAAAAAGACATATCATTCTATTAAATCAGCACTGCAGTTATGGTTGCAAGGACATTTTGATCATCACAGTATGATCACTGTTTTGTATAACTGAGAAAAACAACGGTTTTTCATCTATAAAAGAATAATAAGTTTCTAAATAATTTGTCTCAGCTCCTCTATGAAATGTGATGGTGTGAAAATAAAAATTCCTGAAATTGTCAATGATTCCAGGACAAAAACAATTTATTGTAAATACAACCTTAGAGATTGTCTAGCAATGCCAATCGGGCTTTCCTGCGCGGCGAAAATTTGGTCCCCGTTTACAGGCGATTTTGTGGACCCGACCGAAGTGTAGGTGACTAACTTTGTCAACCTCGGTCTGCTCTATTTCCGAACCAATTCGAATGAAACTCGGCAACCAATCGGAAAATAGGGCAAACTAATGACATGTGGACGTTGAAGTTCGTACACATAAATTAACCTATACTTTTGGTGTCGGGAACACTTTCATATCGTGTACACCGAAAACTCTAAGGAGTTTGAATTTCAACGCCGAGATGGTAATAGATCTATCTATCCTCTATAGTGTGCTCAAATTTGAACGTTCTGTGTCAAGTAGTTGTTTAGACCCGATCATAAATGCACGACTACCCCCCTATCCAAAACGACTTCGCACGGAGACCAGCCATTTTCCCCTCACTCTCGTGGCAAATGTATGTGACCTACAAATCCCCGCATGACTATTCCGGCCCGTTCATTGGTCACTTGCAATAGGGCAATGGCGGGCGCGCGCATCCGGTTGTTTTTCTCTCTATTCCCCTGTAACATCGCAATGGGGGTATTCCGAGGCGAGGTTATTTCGTCTCGGGGTGTTCGCGTCTCAACGGGGAAAAAGAATTTTTAATTGTACGGCATGCTAGATTGAATTAACTTATCTTTTACGGTTGGCATGGTCTAAAGTCATCATAAAAAGCTTTGCAATTATTTAGTCATGCTGCCGACATATATTCTTAAAGATACCATGTTGTGATACGATGCTATTAATAAAATGGACTCATCCCGACACTCCTTTTTCGCAAAAACTGTAATATGTACACCAAAATTTTAATTATAACAAAATAACTACGAAATTGGTAGTAAATCTGACTGCAGAAATGATTTCTACACTCAAAAACACATCGGGTAGCCAAGTTTCTCTCGAACACTCCGATTAGTTACCGAGATATCGTTGATTTTCTTACAGAATCTGCTACTGCGTGGTCCACTTTTTAGGAGTATTTTCCTATATGTGGGTCATCCATATTTTGCCGACCTTCACAACCCCATAACTTTTTTATTTATGAAACCGATTCTTAAAATTCAAGAAGCATAATTCTTAGAATTGAAAATTCTTTCTTAGGTACCAAAATAAAAAGGGCTAAAGTGAAAATTTAAATTTTCATTGGCATTGCTAGATTGTCTGGTCCAGATACCACAAGTGACCAAAATTTCTTGTTCAGAACATTTGAAAGTTACGGGAGGAAAGATTTTTTAACACTATTGCAGATTAGATTACAAACAGAATTTGAATCATATATGCTCAAAACATACCTTGCAATTTCCAATGGCCTTAGCAGCTGCTGAGGCATGGTAGATGGAAGCTACGTTGGTTCCATCAATAATTTTTGAGAGCCCCTTACAGGCATCCTGAAAAAGAAAAGGAGAATATATGAACTAAGCATCTCTAAGGCAATCAGTGCTTACATATAAATGAATACAAGTAATGTGATCTATCTTTTTCAAACATCTCCAAATTCTATAACAATTGTTTTCCATGCTTTCAAAAATGGACGGAAAAAACATTTCCTTCTGAAAATATTTAAGACAGAGCACACTGTCACTGATACTTACTTGAGCATTTGGAATTGCAGCACCCAACAATTTCAAACCCAGAACAGAATACTGAGCTGACTGTGCATCTGTGTATGGTGCTGCCGCCTCAAAGACAGACTGGAGCCTTCTTTGATCTTGTGTGGTTAAAAATGATGATGGTGTGAGGGCCTGGCCAAGCACAGCAATGGCCAAGATGACCACAACAGACAAAACTGCAAGAAAAAAATACAAGGAATTAACACAATAAACCAGACATCTATAGAACCTTACACTCTTTTTAGGGGGGCAACCTACCCCACCCCCCCCCTAAAAAAAATCTAGGGGTTTCCAGGAAAGGGGGGCATCCCGCTCAGCTTTGCAATTAGATTTGATATTTGCTTGAAAACAAGTGATTTGCAAGGGTGTTAGAGTCATTTAACCCTGGTCCTGCGGGAGCCGGGCCTATGTTCCCTGATAAGTCAATTTCAGCATCTCGTCTTTGTTCCGGTCCCGCGTCAGTCCGGCCCCTGGCTCAGCGCACGTACGCCAAGCATCATCCCCGCTCTGTTCGGGTCCTGCATTCCCGCAGCTCAAGTGTGAGCGCATCAGTCTGCTTGAGTTTGCATGCATTTGTGGCCTACTTCTAGAACCGCCTTTGTTGGTTCGTAACCGATGCATACATCTCATTCAAAACACATCAAGTTTGTACTATTGTAGCTCCCAAAAGAGTGCATGATCTGTCATCTGAGTGCGGATTTGAAAGTAAAAATTTACCAAGCCTAGATCTAGATCTTGATCTAGATCTAGATTCTAGATCTAAGATACAGTTATACTATTGAACGTAATAAACCAACAAAACATGAATAATGAGCTGCAGCGGGGCAGTTGGCTGTTGACGTTGAGACTAAGATTAAACTAAGTTGATAAAGACTTTAACAATCAACTTCAAGACAGTCCAAGTCTTCAAGAAATGAATCGTAGACGTAAGCATGGCTACTTTGCAACTTATAGCCATGTAGATCTATACACATACACTATTTGCAGAAAAAATAAAAATTAATCAACAACTCAGATTTGTTAATACTTCCTCGCACGTATGGCAGAAATTAAAATTGATCTCCCAATGTAATTGCAGACGGCGAACACGACACACGGTGACACGGGGCGGCGGTGGTACTGGGAAGTGATGCGGCAGATACCGGCATCAAAAGATTGCACCAACACAGGAAGAAATACAGAAAGTATAATGTCTAACAAATCTTACATTTTTTCAAGACAATCGTATCGCTCTGTAAACAAAGTTTTGCTAAAGTGGAATAGCGAAATTAACACATTTACAGAAGATCTTCAGCAGACTCTTACCTTTCGCCATGTTTATTGACGTTGGAAATGGACGATATTCAGGTTGGGGTTGCCGCAAGGAAACCGGCGAAATTAATATAAGAAAGGCAGCCAAATATTTTTCAATTTAACCAAACGTTAGAATATCCCATATCTTTATCTAGTAGACAAATGCTTACAAAATATGCCATGTTATTAAAAAACAAACATATCACAAAGCTGTAATCTAAATACAACTTTCATTCCCCTCGTTGTGTTTATTTGATAGATTAAAATTCTCTGCCAAAATTCATTATGGTCATTTTCTCTGGAAACACATGTCAATCACAGTGTGACACGTTCGTTGTGACTTCTCTTGTGGAGAAAGTTTATTATCAGTCTCCAGATAGCGTTCTTTTTAAGGGATACCTCAATTTCAATATCCCTTCCAAATACATGTACACGTACATTTTTCATGTCCTAATTACCGACTGACGTAAACGGTGGTCGGTCGATTATCATGGATCTTCTATCTTTTATCAGCTCTGAGTCTGGGCCTATCAATTTGTTACACAATTTGTATCCGTCAAAGCTGATTGTTCAAAGGTGTTTGTAAGTCTAAACGAAGGAATGCATAATATGTATTTTTAAAAAAATTTTAAAAAAAGGTCTATACCTGTCCCCGCGGTTTTATGCACAAAAAAAACCTCTGAAATTATGCAACCTGAGCCCAAAAATGTGAAATTAGACGATTCTGTTAATTTTAACAAAGAATAATAAAGTTAAAGGAAAATAATCAGAAATTATGCACCAAAAAAATGGTCAAATTTTGCTATGCGGGGTGCATAAAACCACAGGGACAGCTATGTACACTTGAGCCCCCAATCTTAAAATAAATTAAAAGCGCCATTCGTTATTATTATTTATATTAATATTATTATTGTTGTTATTATTATTATTATCATCATCATCATCATAATCATCATCATCATCATAATTATTATTATCATCATTATGATTATCATTATTATATAATAAAGTATTATTATTGTTGTTGATGTTGCTGTTGCCGTTTGGTTCAGTCTTATCGGAGCATGGTGGACTGTAAATCTGACAAAAAATGATCAGATTGCATTCGAATAATACAGATAACACAGAATTCATGCATGTTCGTTATGCATAGCCTTACTTTATGACCCTCTGCCAAAACGCAAAAGGTCATTAAATATATATATAGTCTGAAATGGTATACAGAGATGCAACAAATAATAACTTTTTTTTTCTCCAAATCACAACGCAATTTAAACGTGGATTACATTAGACGTAAAGTAATTTAAAAGTAAAATAAAGAATTGCAAGATTCACACGACTCTCTTTTTAGTGGCCTGGGTGGCAGTATGTTCTGTAGGCCTACATGCTGTACTCGAAACCAGATTGTTTGAACCCGTTTGCGAACCCTTTAGTAAAGGGATTTTACATTATATTTGCCTCACCCTACACGCGTGGAGAAGGATACATGACATGATAACAGTCAGTGAAAGATCCTATCATACTAGTCTAGTGCTTCAGGGCTCGTAAAAGAGCAGCTTGCAGGGTTGCTTTATTTCCAAGAAGCTGAGATCTCGAATGTTCAGGATAATTGACAAGGTTTGCCATGGTAATAATGCATTGTAAAATACGCGGGGAATTAGCGAACGCTCTTTAATAGCTTGAATGATTTCTATCAACACATCTACATTATCAATCATTATCATTAAAGAATACATGAATTATAGAGCAAGCTATCAAGTAGGATAAACCACGAGACAGACTCATGTAAGCATAAAACATCATAGATATCTAAATATTGTTCACTGGTCAAGGGGTTGTTGTGGGGGGTTTTTTGTGACCGTTTTTTTGTTGTTGTTTTTTTTTTGTTGTTGTTTTTTGTGGGGTGGTGTTTTGTTTTTGTTTTTTGCTGTGGTTTGTTTTGTTGTTGTTTGTTTGTTTGTTTGTTTGTTTGGGGGGTGCGTGCTCTACTTTTATCCGATTTGTCCGTTAATTAATTTCGTTTTTTGCGTGCACGTTTTGGATTTTAAGATTTGTGTCGCCTGATGGCATTAAATGTACACTGTCTGGGGTGCTTGTAAGTGTATAATATACTAGTATACCGCCATACTCATTCTTTTTTTATGTTCATATGAACTCTAGGGGGTATCTCATTTCAATGCCAAAACCAATGAAGTCAGAGCGTCGTTGATGCCGACCCACGCCAGCGCTACATTATTTCAGGGTTACAGTACATTTGAATACCGAAAAAGAGTTAATAATTAAGGTATAGAAATCAGATTCAGTGTCTCAAACGGTAACAGTCTCCCAAAAATTGAATATAGATCTATTTTGTTTGCACAAATAATATCTAAATGTATTTCACTTTAAAAACGGTACTTAGGCTTTATGTTTCTTCGTTATATTTAACTTAACGTTCAACGTATATTATGTTCTAACCCTCACCAAAGCCTCTCTGATGTACAACGTACGGAAATGGCATCTTTATCGATCAGTAAGGGAACCCCATTTCTCGTCAATGCAAGACACAGATTCAAAATAATTTTGACTGTTGATAAGCGCGAAGGAAAAACAACAGTGGAGTTGAAATAATGATGCTGCAGTAGTTTTACTTAACTCTATCCGTACGCCCTGGGGTCATTTTGTGCCCCGGGGTTGTATTCTTCATATGTAAGAATGCTTCTAGTACGAAGATCTCTTTCAGTATTTCTCAAAAAAATCATTTTGACAGATCGCTGTGCAAAGCGTATACGGATCAGATTAATGAGTAAATATCCTCTTTGGAAAGTGGTGGCACCGAGTTCCCAACATCGTATGGATCCTCCTTTGATCTTCACAAACTAAGGAATTTGAGTGACCCTGAAATGAGATTGTGCCGATGCCATAAAGTAAAGAAAACGGGTTCAAAGTAAACACCGCCTGCGTGCTTTGTTAATATTTGTGCACGTGAATCGTGCTTTGTACATTATACTGTTTTACCAGCGCACACAGACATGATATAGAGAGACAGACAGACAGACAGACAGACAGACAGACAGACAGACAGACAGACAGACAGACAGTTAAAAACAAAAGTTAGTACATGAAGTAGTAACTCTCAAATAATACTTTAACATGTCATAAACGACTTGAACTTGTGAAATTCGTGAAGTCACATAGAGCCACAGAAATCTACACTTAGAAGTGTAGAGTTCTGTGCATAGAGCACAATGAAAGGAAAAGACCCGTCACCCCCCCCCCCCCCCCCCCACACACACACACACACCCAGCCCCCAACCCCCACCCCACAAAAACAAACAACAAAAACCAAACAACCCCAAAACAAATAAATACAAAAAAACAACAAAATAAAACAACAACAAAAACAAGCAACAACAACAAAAACAAGCAACAACAACAAAAACAAGCAACAACAACAAAAACCTGGTATAAAATTCCTTGTGCTGTTCTGCTTGAATCTTAAAACGACAACACCCTAAGTAGTAAAGTAGAAGTAGTACTAAAATTAATTAACGTTATGTACATTGTAATCATTATCATTGAAAAACACATGTACGTGACATCAAAACAATACAATAGTGAAAAAAATGAAATATCAAATAATTGCTCTTGTCATTCTATACCACCTCGATCATTACGTCATTAAAGTAATATTGTAATAGCTCGCATTTACAAGTTGCCATTACAAAGAAAACATGTGGCTGATTTAAACTGCCGTCTCGTATTGTTGACTTTATTCTTTTCTATATTTAGTGTTTGTTATTCTCCAGTAACTCGATGTGGCTTGGCCCGGCTACAGCCACAATTATTTCTGCGATCGTAAAAAGATTTTCTTTTAAATATGGGTCAGTATTAAGCTTAGAATTTATTTACACATTTTGTTTGTAGCCGGAAGACATGTACTGTGACGTTGCATAATTTTGCCAATAGATTGCCATTTCCAACGAACATGGAAATGTAATTTCTTATTGTTACTGTGCATATAGAGCTGATTAAATTAGCTGGAAAAATATTTAATTTGGGTAAACAGATTTCTTTGTTGAGTCATAAAATTAATATAAAGAAAGAAAATTGTCTGACATCATTCACAGGTCCCAATTTGTTTCCAAAAACAATATATTTTTTTCTGCAATTTTTGTGATAGCCCTACACATATTGATCAGAAATAGATTATAGTATAGGCCGGAGGATTTGACCTTTTCACTTGACCAAAGTGAGTCAAAATTGTAGCCCAGCTTTTGCCCCTCCATGAAGGAAAAAATCTGGCCCTCATTCTAACCACTGGGATTAAGCAAAATTTTCCGTATTGTGCTTTGTTTTTCATTATTTTATGATTTATAAGTTATACAATTGAGACCAAACTGTACTTAATGAGAAAGAGGTGCACCATTGCGAAAGCTGAAGAGCTCAGTTGCGTGAAAAGGGTAGTTTAAGCATTATGTGGCTTAAATAAGTTTCCGCCGGGGGTAAACCTTATTGAGCCATATGTGGCCTAAATAAGGTTAGGTGGGGGAGGTTCACCTTATTGATGCCATATGTGACCTAAATAAGCACTCCCTATAAGAAGTAAACCTTTTTTCTCTCAAATTATACATGTATATCGTATATACATTTTAAAATTAAAGTTTTTTTTAAGTGTTTATGTTTTACCCTAGAAACAGGTCATGAATTATGTTATAAAATGACTGGAGAATTCCCTGTCATACATGCTTTAAAACTGAGCTGGATTGACCTCACCAGCTATTTTTGCAAATATACATGTACATATATAATGAATGTGCATAGGCCTATTATATCTCGGCGGGAATTTTGTGACAAGTTCTGATTTCTCCAGACCGCGATAGAACCACAGATTTTCTACTACCAAGATATTGCAATTCTTCTTTGGGCTTTTGTTGCACGCCGCTGCCGGCCCGCTTGCCGCTTAGCGCGTTATGGGCGACGTCACATGCCACGCGAGGTTGGTTTCATCGCCGACTGCTTAGTGTATGCGTGTGTGTGTGTGTGTGTGTGTGTGTGTGTGTGTGTGTGTGTTTGTGTGTGTGTGTGTGTGTGTGTGTGTGTGTGTGTGTGTGTGTGTGTGTGTGTGTGTGTGTGTGTGTGTGTGTGTGTGTGTGTACAACTTCGTTCGGGGAGGAGAAGAGCGGAGGTACAGAATGGTACAGGCTAAATTTATGGAACGAGAATTGCTGAGATTGTTTAAAGATAACAAGAAAAAAACAAAACAAAAGGAAACAAAACGGAAAAAGGGGGGAAATGGGGGGGGGGGGGAGTTTTTTTTAGGGGTGGGGGTGGGTGGTGGTGCTTTAGATGGGAAGGAAGAAAAGAAAACTGAAAATCAACAAACAAAAAGGACGGAAATTATTTGATGATTTTGAGTGGCAAAACGTTCACCGATCGAACTCATATGTAATTTGCTGTCCAGTCATCTGATATCGTAAGGATGGTTATAGTGTCGTAGTTCGTCTAGCACGTTGTCACTGGTCAACATCACATTCGTTACAGAATTACCAGACAATTTGTGCCATGAGAGTAAATTTCTTTGTCAAACTTAAGAAGTGAACGTATTGCGGCGACATATAGTCTTGCTTTACAATTTCTTTCTGACTTCATGTTACAATCTTTTATTTAAAAAATGCCTGGCAGATTCAAACTGCCATCTTCACAGTAATATCAATCAACAACTATGTTTTCCCACTATCTGGATCCTTGAAATACGACTACTGGTGCTGTACAAATACCTCTCTCGAGAGAGCGTTTTTGATAATAATATATTCTTATTTTAGATTGTTGCACTTCTTAAGTGAAAGTTTGAGATCATAATATTATGAATCCCTGTAGCCGTGCTGGAAGAATTGTACTACATGTATTAGGGAAAGTAAAAAACTCGCTTCCGGAGAGCATACATCAAAGAAATCTCACGGAGACCCAACCTTGATTCCGAATAAACACTGTAGTAAATGAAACTGTTGAAAACATGCGCTGGAACAGCGCATCTGATTTGGTAGTTGACGATAGTGATATTTAACAATTAGCCAGCTTCAAGCGTTCAATCCAACAAGATGAAGGAGAAACGAAGCACGCTAACAGAATTAAAGTCGGGAAATGTGATATAATATATGGAAATTGGATACGGTAAATGGGAAACAAGAACTACAATGTAGATGAGAGATGGGACACTGAAGGTGTGATTCAGAAGAGGGGGCTGGTCATAATATGTGTACAATAATGACTGTATTGCACCTGCTCAGCCTGTGAACCGACGCAGAGAGAAAATGACGGGAATAACTAATTCATAGTAGAAGTGAGTCTTTGATAGAACGAATTGTTATAACCCACTGTAATTAAGTATATCTCTATAAATATTGACCTCAGTTTCGAATGTAAGTACATTTTTGTACATGTCTGTGTATTTACAAAATGTATGTTCTTTCCATGTCAAGTAAAGAAATAAGTTGAAAAGCTACGATTTAAACTGAAATTGAACATAACAATTCAAAGTTAAAACAACAGCCATGCTTAACCTGGTCATACGGATCGGCGGATTAAAAAGGAATGTGTAAAACTAAATATGGCCGCCATTGTTTACAACAGTAACTGCTGAGAGACTAGCTGAGTGTATTTCTGTTTTTAGTGTGCAATAATATCAGTGTATATTCTGGCGCTTACAGGGAAAAGCATCAGTATCGAAATGATAGAAGAAGATTAACGTTATGGTTGTGTTTACAAGTAGAAAGTCACCAAATGAAGATACAGATCCTTTAGTTTCTGACAGGTCCTCCGCTTCCACCATGTCGAAAAGTCGAAATATCTGCCGCAAAATCGCGGCCTCAGTTGAGATACTGTTGAGGCTCCTTGTGATGATAATTTCAAGATTTTGGAAAATGTGCACTACTGGACTGTTGATTGTTACATTGTTGTTTTGGACTGAAGGAGGATCTTATGCCTTTTGCTTCTTTATATTGGGTGTAATAGGTAAGCCAGAGTCGCACACGGCCACCTAGAATAGTGCAGGCGAGTCTTGTGGCTATTCTCACCCGGTGCGCGTTCACCAAATTTTGCGTTCACCCTAAACCACAGAATTCTACACTGTGATAACAGAAAAATTGTAGAATTCTGTGCCGTGAACAAACGTTCCATTATTACAACTGTAGCCTACTAAAAGCGAACAATTTTGTCTGTGGGGGCAGTGGAGAGAGAGAGAGAGAGGAGTAGCGCGAGAATTTCCGGGCAAAACAAAATGATGAAAATGGCGACCCGCGAAGTTCGGCTCGATTCGAAAAGTTAAATAGCCGTAACATCTTTGTAGACAACCAAATTAATTTACTTTTGTGTTTTAACATCATTTTTAAACTTTGTTTTGGTCAATTTGATCGCCCACACCGATAGACAGTATTCAGAAAGAGACAGAGAGAGAAGAGGGGAGGAGTTGATCTTGCGAGAACTTCCTGGCGGGTGAGAATAGCCACTTTCGTCGCACACAGTGATGAGGAAAGTGAAGTGAGAGTGAGACTGAGAGTGTTTTAGTTTTGGCCACGGCCACCTCTATTCTCACCCAGGGTGAGAATAGCGCAGGCGAATCTTTTGGCTATTCTCACCCGGTGGGCGTTCACCGTTATAGCGTAGGCCAACCAGTGAAGAGTTCACCCTGAACCACAGAATTCTACATTGTGATAACAGAATTGTAGAATTCTGTGCCGTGAACAAACGTTCTAGATCTAGATCTATTACTACTGTTAGTGTTAGCCTAAAAGCGTGCAATTTTGTCTGTGAGCAGTGGAGAAAGAGAGAGAGAGAGAGGAGTAGCGCGAGAACTTACGGGCAAAACAAAATGGGAGGAGTAGATCTTGTGAGAACTTCCGGGCAAAACAAAATGACGACCCGCGTAGTTCGGCTCGATTCGAAAAGTGAAATAGCCATACTACCATAGCATCTTTGTAGACGATCAAATTAGCTTACTTTTGTGCTATAACGTAATTTTTTCTTTGCTTTTATAATCCATTTGAGCATCCAGACCGATAGAAAGTGTTCCGAAATTAGGAAAAACAGGTCTTGTTTCACACCGGGTGAGAATAGCCAACAGTGGCAAGTCTCACCCGGGATGAGAGGTAGATCGTATTTTTATTCTCACCCCAGGTGAGGATAGCCACTTCCTTTAGTTTTAGTTTGATGTCACATTATGTAGATTCTAGATCTATATGACATGACATGAATCTGTCTTAAATTTTGAGAGTAATTCCGTGATAAGCGATCACTATGAAATAGATAGGGGGTAAGGGTTAATTAAAGTTTGGTCAGGGCTAGGGTTAGGTTCCTTCAGATTTCTTTTACTTCCCTCCCATCTCACACTTAGCTTACCAGTTGTCCATTTTCTGAGATTTCTTTCTTATTGATGGGCTGAACACGAATATCAACTTCAGTACTGTTGCAAATTAATGGTTTTTGAAATATTTGATGGTTTTTACTCAGGCAACATCTCACTAAACCTAACCGTGCAGTAACTTGCGCGCTTTGGACCAACCGTGGGGTTTCAAGTACGGAAGTGGCTATTCTCACCTCGGGTGAGAATAAAAAATAAGATCAACCTCTCACTGCGGGTGAAACTTGTCAGCGTTGGCAATTCTCACCCGGTGTGAAACAAGACCTGTTTTTCCTAATTTCTGAATCTGTCTATCGGTGTGGATTATCAAATTGACAAAAACGTAGAAAAAAATTATGTTATAGCGCAAAAAAGTAAACTAATTTGGTGGTCGACAAAGATGCTACATGGCTATTTCACTTTTCGGATCAAGCTACTACGTGTGTCGCCATTTTGTTTTGCTCGGAAGTTCTGGCTAGATCTCTCCTTCTCTCTCTCTCTCTCTTTCTGAGTATTGTATATCGGTGTGGACGATCAAATTGACAAAAACAAAGAAAAAAAATGATGTTATAGTTTTATTGCACAAGTAAATTAATTTGGTCGTCTGCAAAGATGCTATGGCTATTTCACATTTCGAATCGAGCCGAACTACGCGGGTCACCATTTTGTTTTGCCCAGAAGTTCTCGCACTACTCCTCTCTCTCTCTCTCTTTCTCTCTCAGCGCACAGACATAATTGCACGCTTTCAACACATGTGAGCTGGAACGTTTGTTCACTGAACGCTACACTGGTCGGCATATTTACGGTGCACGCACACCAGTTGAGAATAACCAAAAGGCTTGCCTAGGCTATTGGGTGAGAAAAGAAGGTGACCTTCAAGTACAGTAAAAAAAAAGGCCAGCTCTTTTTCTCAGTACGCTCGGGAAAATAAACTTGAACTCTATCTCTCCGAACGGTTTCTGTTCTCGAGATTTTTTTGTTATTCTTGCGAATGGAGTGGCCTGGCAGCGTGCGTGCCGCATGCGCGCGTGTGTGTGTGCCGTGTGTGTGCGTGTGTGTGCCATGTGAGTGTGTGTGTGTGTGCATGTGTGTGTGTGTAAGGTGTGAAGGGGAGGGGGGGGGGGGCGTGTAGGAATTTTTTGTGTGATTTAGTTTTTGCTTTAGGGGTGACTAAGATAAGTTACTGCCAAATTCAAGCAGTCTTGTTTTCTCTATGTACCTTTTGAAGGCATTTTCAAATGCAGTATAGTCCTGGAACGTTGCCCCAACTACAATTGAAGTATATATCTGAATATTGAGACAACAAAAAATTTCTAGCTCTAGAAATTGAATTCGATGCAAAATAAAATGCGTCTTCCCAGTCCTCGCAGAGTGGCAGAATGAAAGATGATGCCGAACTCTCACAAATAACCAACAAAACTCGAGAACGGAAACCGTTAAGAGAAATAGAGTTCAAGTTTATTATCCTGAGCATTCAGAGAAATACTCACTTCGGAAAATAATGGGGGGTAACCTTCCATAATTTGATATTTGCAGTGTAAACGTTACATAATTTTAAAAAAAAATTGATTTGCGACAGTTTTAATGGCTCTATGTGTATTCTGTAGCAAACAATATTTGCAGTTTAACCCTCTAAGCGGTGTATTTGTGTGCGGGAGCGAAAGTAAAAATTTACCTGTTCCATTTTTATTGTGTGTTAGTTGGGGTGGTCGCTCGTTACGGAGGCTCTTCTTAAGTTCTGGCCTCAGGACTCCGTGTCATGAATCTGTCTCAAGTTTTGGGAGTAATTCCGTAATGAGCAATCACTATGAAGTAGGTAGAGGGTTAGGGTTAATTAAAATTTGGTCAGGGCTAGGGCTAGGGTCCTTCTTTATAATTGTATTTGTTTGAGTGGTCGTTTTTATTTGGAGGTTCTTCAGGTCTAAGTTTTTGCCTCAAGATTAAAGAAGAGTAATTTTTAGTAGCCTACTGGAATATTGAGTTACGCCTACTTGACTGGGATAATCTGGTTTAGGGGTTATGATAGTAATCATTGGGGCCAAAACTAGATTGTTCCCATTTGTTAAAGTAACCCTTTTACGCTAATAATGAGTTTTACAACTGTTCAGTTGTTACACTTTTCAGAAAGTGCTCTTTTTTTTCACATGTAGTCAATACTAAATTTGTATCTGATCATTATGAAATTTTCAGGACATTTAGAAAATAGAACGATCGCATGTTCATCAAAGTTAGAACTGAATTGTTACTAAAATATTAGATCTAGCACTTTCATCACCTGAATCCTCATCATGGTGACACTATAAAGCAATACTTACCTGGTCTGCTTAGCATTTAAAAAATAATTCACTCCAGTTAGGCAGCGTAAACATGGCCTCGTGGGCACTCGCGGCCTTCCAAGCGCGTGGTTTCGGTGAAATGGGGGGTAATTCAGATCGCTGTTTCTTTACTTTTTCGCTATAAAACACCACATGCTGTACCCTTTGTAAAAGTTCAGCTTTTCCTTGTTTAAATGGTTTAAGTTGTTTACATGTCCGATTATTAAAAGCTGGAGAATTGGCGTCGAAAGTGAAGCCCCTCGTGGTCGGAACGCGTGGTCGGCCGGTAAAAAATTGACACGTGTGCATTCAAATGCTTCACGGAAAGATTGATGGTTAAATACCGTCTTTTCATTGGCGGAAAACTGTAGAGCTTTGGACGGACTTTCCCATGGTATATTTTGGCCGTTGGCGTTTAATTAGAAAGCCTTTAAAAATACCGTCAAAGCTTTTTTTAACCCGAAATATGTAAAATACCTGCTTAAGAAAAAGATACCAAGAGAAAGGTCAGTTCATTTTCTATTATAAGGCTTTGAATTATTTTTCATCAATCCTTCCGTGAAACTCGGAAAGCATATATATGATTCCCCCAAGCGGGGAGCACTCGGTTCACTACAGTATAGAGCCGATCGCTCACCGCCCGGGGGGGGGGGGGGGGGGTGGGGTTGCCTGCCGGGTCAAGGCTCTGTGTTTTTGTCGAAATAATGATAGATCATCGTGTTTGCGGCGATAAAATACTGGTTTTTTAATGATCTTGTAGTCTTGAAAAAAATTAGTCTCCATATCTATGTTATATAATAGTGATTGTACTCTGTTAATGTGGAGATGTTTGGTGCACTTGGTACTCTTTTATTATCTGTCAAACATGGGGTTGCAGCCAGTGAGCGACTGTAGCAAATTTGATCAAATTTTAAACAGACCATTTGCTTAAAAATTGACTTAAAGGTTAAAGAATGGTAACAAAATTCTCAGCAGATATATAGGCCGTTCATGGAGAACAGATAGATTTGGCATACAGCTACTTTGAAAATTTAGTTTCTGGTATGTACTCCAGTTGCTCTAAACAAACTAGTTTCCATCCTCAATGGACACATAAAACATCCACAAGGGAAATTATAACTTGAACAAGTACACATGTCCAAATAGATAATTTCTACGTTTTTGTTGTCATATTACACTTGTCACCGGTCTGTGTCCCGTGGGGCAGATACAGGTTCTTCCCGTCATCAAAAGACATCTTGTGTGTGTGTGTGGGGGGGGGGGGGGGGGGGGGAGTGCTTACTTTTGAAAGTTAGTAAACACAGTCACAATATTTTATTCACTTTATTTTTTAAAATTCCAATTTTAAGTCACAGAGTAGTGAGAGTTATGAATTTTATTTGTAAAGATTGTTGAAAGGTCAAGCTGAACATTCATTGACTTTCAATGTCTGATGCCATGTTTATGCAAAAATGTACTTTGTTTCTTTTCATCTGTGGCTTGTGACATTGAGTTTGTTACTTTACTACTGTATTGTATCTACTCTTAAACCCCTGCCAACTGAAACTCCTGTTTTATCTGAATGTCCTGGTTTATCTTTTACTTCTTAAGGTTATTTTGGTCAACTGTAACGATTTTAGAAGCTGTCATCTAAACTTTGAACTTGTTACAACTGGTCTTTGTAATTGTTTGTACGTCTGATTTCTTCTTGAAGTTTGACGTGATTGGATCCGCTAAGTTACTCTATTTGAGTAACGGTCATGATTTTCTTTTTTGCATGTGTCTTTTCTCAGGCACTCTGTTGGCTGTGTGAAATATGGTTATAGCCCACTCCTTCTTTTCTATACAAATGTTTTTCTAGTTTATATTACTGAGGAAATGTGGTTGCTGTTGCACCATCTTATGAAAAACTATGTCAGTGGTTGACAGGTACTCTGGTGTGGTTTGCTCCTTCTTTCCTATCAAACATCTATTGTTGTTTTCTCTCCTCCTTTTGTTGTGTTTGTTACTCCCTTGTAACACCTTCTAATCTGCGGCACTTGTATGACCTAATTGTGTTGCAAGTGCCATAAAACTCTTTCTCCAAAAGTAAACTCATCAATTTCAAAGATGATAATTACCTTCAACCCTTGTCTCACTAAGGTTGTCTCAACTGGTATGGATCTTCTCCTCAGGCCTTATGTACCATGCTCAAGACATGCTGCTCTACCACCCAGAGTCCCCGTCCGACTCGCGCATCATGGTGGTCACACCGGACGCCTTCCAGATGCCCTTTGAGAACCTTTTCATCCGCTCCCGAGACGGGACGCTCATCAATGTGGTGCTCATCAAGCAGATACACCGAGCCTCGTGCACCATCGTCTTCTTCCATGGCAATGCTGGGAACATCGGCCACAGGTACGGAGGGGTGCCAAATTAAAAAAGTTTCAGTAATTCCCATTCTGTTAACCCATTTCATACCGCGCACAGGGATTCCTAGTGCTCACAATGCAAAATACTGAGATTCCCCGTTTGAAGTGACACCTCAGAAAAACAACCACCGTTAGAAATCTATTTTTTGACACTACAGCTTCCCTTGTAAATGGGAGAAGAGCACTCTATTATATTCTAACTCTCAAGTGAAACTGTTTTAATGCTGTAAAGTGTGAAAGATGGCAAAACTATCTTTAACAGTTGAGAGGTGTTTAATGGGCTTATTATTATGGATAAGGATGGTGACCAAGAAGCAATTGAAAGTAGTGCCAATTCTGATGACATTTATATATGTGAAATAAGGGGGAATTCTGAATCAGATGATACTGACAGGGATGACAGTAGCGCAGTGGAAAAAGAAAGGGCATGGTCTTGTACATGGTCAATGAAGTTTTATAAAGAAAATAGTTTAGAGAGAAGAAATTGATTAGCAGATTATAAGCTACAGGTTGAGAATAAATTTCATATATGACCCATAAGTAAGTGCAACTTTTCACTGGCATGCTCCAGCACAAAACATTTTGGGCTGGAAAGTTTCAAAGATATCTTTAATTTGTCAGCAACATGGCTTAGGATTTCCATGTGTTCATCCATTTCTGCACAGACGAGGTGCTTGCATCTTACAATGCACTGTACCTGGTTGCCTTCCATGGCGTGGTACCTGATCATGCAAGGCTGAAAGACGAGGACTGAGTTTTTCTTGTAAATAATTGGTTCCCCCCCCCCCCCCCCCACTGCCCATTTTTCATTTTGCATGTAGGTATAAAAAAAATAAAAATAATATAGATTGTCAAGAGCATAGAGCTTGCTGTTGGGCGGGAATTTGCGTTATGCAAATGGTATCTCTATTATTATTATTATTATTATTATTATTATTATTATTATTACTATTAAACCCTAAGTGCAGAGGCAACTGAAGTTAATTTTTATTTCATACTGATCCTACTGTGTAAAAATTTATCAAGTGTTTTGTTCAGAGAAGTATGTGTCTGCTTCATGTCTGTCTGGGTGAGACAAAATTTTTTTCTTCAACCATTCTGATAACTTAAGTTATATAATGTTTCCTTTGTTGCAGACTTCAGAATGCCCTGGGCTTGTATTCTGTGTTGAATGCCAATGTTCTCATGGTCGAGTACCGAGGCTATGGGAAAAGTGAGGGAAGCCCAAGTGAATCTGGTAATTGGATTTGTAGTAATTGTGGCTATTTAAAAATGTTTTAAAATTTTTAAAATCTTATTATATATAGGAAGAACTCAGAAACTTGCAAGGGGGGAAAAATTGAGTTTTTTTTTTTTTGGGGGGTGGGGGTGGTTTGGAGATAATTTCTAAATCATTCAGATACAGAATTTTAAAGATATATGAATGCTGATGCTGGTTTCTTGAAAGTGGAGATACTGGACATGCTTTTCTGTTTGTAATTTGTGCCTGCTGATTGGGTGCAATTTACGTGCCTCGTACCTTCTGGTGCTGGTGTGATGCTATTTCTCTCCGTACTCGCTATTCTTTTTCCATTGCCTATGGTGTCATGTTAGGTTCTTTTCTGTTGCATACAGGTGACTTGAGTTCATTTCCTATATGGGGGAGTTTATTTTATTGAGTAGCTCCATGTTTCTGCTGGGATGATCTATCCTGCTCAGCCCAGTTTGGCGCCTAGAGGCAGGGCCGAAGCACTCAGCTTGTTAATAATCTTTATTGTTAGGACTGGGAGATCGAACATTTACAAGAACTACATTTGAGCCTGTCCAAAAATGACCATCCGTTGTTGAGGTGAAAAGTGGACATCTTAGACAGGTGGTCCTCTTAAAAAGTGTCTGTATGATATAAAAAGAATGCAAGGGACAAATGAGAAGTAGTTGTCTTGGACAGGTGATAGTGAGAGCTCTGCCATAAGCTGATAGAACGCCTTTTTAAAATTCACAGCAGTTTCGAGAAAAAGATATATTTTTTGTCAATGTAACCATTTAGAGATAATGTTGTTTTGAAATTTGAATTCTAATTTATACAAAAACTAGGCACAGTTTCACTTTGATTTTTTTCAAAAGTAGGGTTACTGATCAGGCTTTCGATTAAATAAATAAAAAATGTTGGCGCCCAAATGAAAAAAGGCATTTTGTCAGTTTACAGCAAAGCTGGTTCAACTGCATGAAAAAATTTTTTTTCCTGTTGTGGGTACAGAAAATAACCTCCTTCAGCCCCATAGAATGCCTTCAAATTAATTTATTTGTCTCTAGAAGGATGCTGAAGTCCTGTAAAAATACACCCCCAGAAAAACTTCAGTGTTGCAAGTTTTTCCTGAGCATGTTATCGTGGGTGGTTGGCAGATACTCTAGTGTGGTTTGCTCCTTCTTTCCTACAAACATCTGTCATCCTGATCTCTCCTTCTTTTTTAAGTTTGTTACTCTCTTGTAACGCCCCTAATCTTCGGCACTCATATGACCTTATTGTGTTGCATGTGCTGTAAAACTTTTACTAAAACTAAAAAGAGCACGCTATCTCTCCTGTTCCTCAGGCTTGTACCAGGATGCCGAGGCAGCTATGGACTTTCTTCTGAAGCGGCCAGACCTGGAGGGTACGCCCATCATCGCGTTTGGCCGCTCACTGGGCGGGGCGGTCGCCGTCAACATTGCCGCCTCGTCTTTCTATGGGTCCAAACTTTCTGGTCTCGTGCTTGAGAACACATTTACGTCCCTGTACGAGATGAGTTTCAAGATACTGCGTCTCACTTGTATCAAATACATTCCACACTGGTGCTATAAGAATAAGGTGAGTCGTATTTTGCATTTCTTAGAGTAGGAGTGTGGGTGGCTGGCGGGTGCTCTGGTGTTGTTTGCTTCTTCTTTCCTATAAAAAATCTATCATCCTTATCTCTCCTCCTTCTTTTTTTGTGTTTGTTACTCTCTTGTAACACCTCTAATCTTCAGAACTTATATGACCTTATTGTGTTTCAAGTGCCGTAAAAAAAACTTACTAAAACTAAAACAGAGTAGGAGTAGTAGTTGGAGGGGGTCTCACTTCTTTTCTTTCCCTGTTTTATCTGTCTATCCGTCTTACTGTCTTCCGATACCAGATGACTGCTCTCGTATTAGTGTACTTCTTTTTACTGCAACAAACAATAAGTGTCTCTCGTCAGCTCTCAGGGTCGTCAAGGTCAGCTGGGATGGATACAGTTTCGCTTGGGGTGGCTATCAAATTTGTGTTTTTACTAACTTTTGAAGCGACGAACTTTTTGCTTATCTCAGCTGATCACATGGCCTAGAGAAAATAAAGCATTAGCTGTGAGATCATTGTCGTCAATCCGAATTCGTCTACTGTAATACTCTTTTGGCAGTATAATTATCTTGTGTGACAAGTTTTCTTCTTCCAAATGGTTTGTTCCAATTTCCTTAATTCCTTTTGAGAAAATTAACGAGAAATATCTTGTGTTTGAATCAGAAATCAGAAATATCACTGGTTTTAATCAGAAATATCTTGTGTGTTTTTATCAGAAATATCTTGTGTTTTAATCAGAAATATCTTGTGTCTTCAATATCGATACCGTTGTGTGTCACACGTAATTGATTCTAACAAAAAATTAAAACATACTTTTAAAAATCTAATTAACTTTTTTGTGGTGTTCTCAACTTTTCAGTTTCCGTCACATCAAAGAATCGACAAAATCAGCAGTCCTATATTGTTTTTAAGTGGTTGTATGGACGAGCTCGTCCCTGCCAAGATGATGAAAGAGCTCTACAACGTGAGTAGACTAGAGGACAGTAGTTATGTTTATTGAAACTTTTCACCACACACGAACAACAAGCTAAAAATGACACTTTAAAAGAATGGGATTGGGTACTCAGCCATATACGGTGAAAGTTCTTCTTAGTATGTTAATGTTTTAGGGCCTATATAATGGAAGCTTGCACTGTATGCTTCCCTGGAAGTTGAGATTGTTTCAGAATCCTATCAAGTCTGTAGGGGTAATAATATAGATTGTAAAGTGCATAGAGCTTGCTGTTGAACGGGAACTTGCGCCATACAAATGTTATCTATTCTTCTTCTTCTTTTTCTTCTTCATCTCCTCCTCCTCCTCCTCCTCCTCCTCCTCCTTCTTTTTCTTCTTCTTCTTCTTCTGCTGCTGCAGCTGCTGCTGCCACAACTCATTCCACTCCTTAACAGCACTAAATCAAGCTTTCTCGTTTATTTTCTCCACATGCATGGTCCCTCATGCTACTGCTGCTGTTGCAGCTGCTGCTGCTGCTGCTGCTGTTTCTTCTGCTTCTTCTTCTTCTTCTTCTTTTTATGTCATTGAACAAGACAGCGCCAGATGCTACCTCATCATGGCACATAAATTTCTAGAAGTTTTTAGAAGTTGGTCAGGTTTGGGTTGTCTTTTATGGAAGGCTTTGTTACAGTTTGGATCGGTGCATCTATCTCAGTTATTGTAGAGGAGTTATTGTAGAGGTTATAATTTGTGCTAGGTGCTGATATTGTTGTGCAATATTTTGGTTTTAAAAAATGAATTTGTTGAACCTCATAGAACGTATGTCCTTCTTTCATGACTAACCCAGTGACTTTTTGTGGTTGGTCTTTTTGCCAGAAATCCAAATGCAGCCTCCGCCGTCTGGAGACATTCACAAATGGAACTCACAACGACACTTGGATGTCTCCGGGCTACTATGAGGCGTGGATGCGATTTATTCCAGACGTAAGTTGGTCGATATTGCTCCTGAGCTTTTTTGTGTTCAGCACCAATAACACTTGTCTACCTAGTAGGGAATGTGCTTTGTATTTGAACAGCCAAAATGATCCAAGACGGCCTATCTATTGTCAGGGAGAAAAGTGGTTGTCTTAGGTAGGTGGATGACTTGGACAGTTTGGGTGGGGCAGGTACTGGGAACCAGAACCGGAACTCCCCGTACTACAATCGGCTATGTCCGTACTGGCACCTGGCTTCCTGTATCGGTACTGGTCGAATGCTGCTTTACTTGAGTACTGTGTGCCTTTCCAATCTCCTGGTGCTTGCTACATTTGTTCTTTTCTGGAATTTTGAGATGAGATTGAATATCTTTGCTGTTCAGGCATAAGCAAGTTTGTTTAAATGTTCCAAATCTAGAAAGCAGAATTGTCAGGAGGGAAAAAAAATTTAATTATTTTTACAATTGGATTTAATTTATGCTTCTTTTCTTGCCTTTTTCAACATTAACAATTTGAACTTTGACGAAATATTTCTTTTAACATTCTTTCGTTCACTCCTCAGTGTCTCAGCCTCTGTTTTTCTGTCCCTCCCTCCCTCTTTCGGTCTATCTGTCCATTAATACTTCCATCCATCCATTTTTCCATCTGTTGGTCTGTCTGTCTGTCTGTCTGTCTGTCTGTCTGTCTGTCTGTCTGTCTGTCTGTCTGTCTCTCTCTCTCTCTCTCTAAGAGTACGCTGACCCCATTTATATATCTCTCTCTGTTACTCTCTTTCTTTCTTTGTATCTTTTGAAAAGTACACTGACCCCATCTCTCTCTGTCCTCAGGCTCTGCGAGTTCAGCCAGATCTGCGTCATGACCAGGACAGCTCAAGCAGCAAGGAGCACAGGATGGAGTCTGTCATGTCTATATGACCTTGTCTCCTCACCGTCCATACGGCCTGACATACAGGCCTTGTTTTGTTGTTACGTAATATTATAATTATTATTATTTTTTTGTATTATTAATTATTACAACTCGTGACCCTACACCCCCCACCTTTCCCGGCTATGATTCCTTCTATGGTTCTACTTCTCAGGCACCAGTCAACCATCTTATTGAAATGTCAACTGTAATTTTGTGTACAGCACTACCCACATTATCTCCACCTCTCGCCTCCTGAGATTTGGGATTTCAGTCCACACATTTTCACTCAGTCGTGTTGCTGTCACACTTCCCTTTACAACGACGATTCCTGCTTCCACCAGATAAAAACTGAAGACTATGGGGGGTGGGGGGTGGTGGGGGGGTGTTAGAAATGACGAATACATTTTGAATTATTTTGAGTTGTTCCACAAGGGGACTCCGTAACACTACAGTTTTAAAATCACACGGTTTTTTGAAGATGGAAAAAAAAAAGGCAGGATTCGTATAAAAATAACAGAAAAATAACATAGAGATAGAAAATGTTATACCCTTCTTTAAAATATGTGAGTCTAAACTTCACAGCTAGGATTTCTCAATGGCGCCAAAATGTGGATCTGCATCTCCCTCATTGCTTGTTCTCCCCCCATCCCCCGTTGTCTTCAACTAAAATTCAGTCATCCTTTCCATCCTCTATGTTTGTCCCCCTCACCATACTGTCCACTTTTTCCTGAACCTATGTCTGAACGTCAGTGGTTTCACCACCACGACTCGGCAATCCACTCTCAAACAATCATGGCTTAAAGATTCACCGACCGGGCCATTCCCATTGGCGATTGCACTGCCAATCACCTTATCACTATTCTTCTAGTCGTGTGGCTCATGCAATGTTTGTCTCTTCCCACCCCCCCACCCCTCTCCAATCCATCCCACCTTCCCATGACGGCAGCCTTCCATATATGCAC